CACAACATCTTTGTTGGTATGTGGTGCTGAGGATCGAACCCGGGCCTCACGCATGCCAGGCGAGCGCGCTACCGCTTGAGCCACATCCCCAGCCCAGAAATTTCTAATAATTAGAAGCCCACAAAGCTAACTGAGCAATGATTTCAGTGAATACAGACTTTACAGTTCAGAAGGGTTACCTAACAGCAGCAAACTCTGTGTCATCATATTTTAAAAGGCCTATTTTCAATAAATATATGAACAGTCAAAGAAAAAAGAGAGCACAGACTATGTTGTGGTGTAAACTAATCAATAAAATCAGTAAGAGTGTAAGTTATAGGTTATAGATTAGTAAAAAAATATAGATTATAAATATAAGATTCTGATAAGTGAGATAAGACAATTATAAAGCAAGAATTGTCACAGACAGGCCTAAGACTCCATTCTGTGTCTTCTATAAAGAAAAACTATTGTATGACCCATTTCTGAGAAACAGAAAATGAAAACTGTCTTATAAAAAAATCGTTTTGGGGCTAGGGTTGTGGCTCAGCAGTAGAGCGCTCGCCTCGAACGTGTAAGGCCCTGGGTTCGAGCCTCAGCACCACATAAAAATAAATAAATAAAATAAAGTTTTTGTGTCCAACTACAACTACAAAAAATAAATATTAAAAAATTGTTTTTCTGTACTTTGTACCCCACAGAATGTACCCAACTCAGGACATGGTGGTGGCCATTCGTGGTGAGCTACATCCTGGGTTTGAGTACATTTATGGCTCTACATGACTTTGAAATAGATTATCATCCCCACTCAACTGAAACTCAGGACACGGTTGTCTAACACTTGCTCAGACCTGAGATGTGGTTAACTAGGTTGTAAGCTAACTGCTTTTATTAGCTTCTGTAACTTGCGTGCTTGAATGATGCTGAGAAAAGCCCTTGAGTTATGGTTTTTGTTCTTAAATTCCCAAGAAGTCAGGAAATTGCTGTTATCCCAGAGAGCATCAGTCTCTACAGGTGGGCGACAGTCCCTGGCCAGGTAAATAAAGCTCTCTTTTGTTTGAATTCAGACTTAGAGTGTTTTCTGAGGCAGCTCCCCATTATTTGAAAAAAAAAACAAAAAACAATAAGAATTGTCCCTGGGGAAACTTGGACATTAGACTCATTATACAAGACTTCAAACCAATTATTTAAAAAATATGCAAAGAATGAAAAGAAACTATAAGAAAACTAAAGGAAGATGTCAAAATAATGTCTTATCAAATAGAGAGTATCAATAAAAAGACAGAAATAATAAAAAGAACCAAGTAGATTCTGGAATTCAGAAGTAAAATTCCCAAAATTAAGAATTCACTAGAGCTTGGAGTGGT